AATAGTCACACAGCATCACCTCCAATCAAAGAATTACAGATGGTATGACAGCTACAAAGTCATGAGACAAGATGTTTTACTGTAAAAGGCAGAATTCCACCAGTGGAATTTGTCAGGTGATTGAACTCACTTCAGTGAGGTATCCAAATACCTTTGCAGAGAAACTGCATCACATATGAAATGTCTCTTTACAGTCAAAGATATCAAAAAACTCAACAGCTGAAAATTCAGGCTATGCCAATATAAATTAGAAATAAGACTTTCTTAGGGAGAGACAATCAACCATTGGAAACACTAATAAGAATAGCTGAAAATATTTCACATCCTGACATCTGCACATTAGGCTCAATTTAACACAGAAGATACATTGCCATCTCTCGCAGACTTCTATCAAATGTACATTACTCGTCTCAGATAACTAGTTAAAAGTAACTAGAACATGAGTCAGATTAGATTGTCTGAAGATCCCTTATGGACTTACAAGTCTGCTGCTGCAGTTTTGTCTGAACCCCAGAAATAAATTAGTCTTTAAGTACAGTTTTTTTAAACTACCCATAGCTCAGTACAAAACAGGAGAGTACTTCCCTTTCTAAATCATCAATAAATTCTTTCACACCTATGAGGTCCTGTAGGATGAACTGTTTGAGTAATGGCCATGGTTTCTGACAGTGAAATTGGATGAGACAGGCAGATACAGATTTGGTTTTAATTTAAATACAAGCAGAGTCACCAAAAATGAAAAAATGTTTTTGTGAGCAAGACCTCTAAGCATCTGAATTTCCACTGCAAGAGTTTCCTTAGCACTGACCCAATAGAACTGCTCCCAATAGGAACCTCAAATGTGCATTTAAGAACTTCTTTGAACTAGGACTGCATCCCTCAGAGATCCAAGCTAAAACTGCTACATCCCTAATTATCTTTTTTTTTTTTTTTAAGTTTCTCCATGCTCATTTTGATGATTGCTCCAATATATGAACACTGACAAACAAGCATACTCTTGAGTTTAGCCAAGCTGGGAAATAATTAACTTTGTAACATTATTTAAAACAGTTGAACTGCAGATTTATTTTTGTCCTTTCATCTGCCATATAATGCACTGAAGCTTTGCTCTGTATATTCTTTGTTTCTAGCTCTTGGTTTTCTATCCAGGCCAAGGTAAGTTCATCTCACACACTCGGGTCAATATGAAGCAGGGGAAAGATAAGGAGGAAAAGAAAAAGAAGAGGGAACCTGAAGACAACTGGTAAGAGTAAGAACCTAATCTTCTCATTGAGTCCTGACACAGTTAAGATTCCCTTTTAGCCAAAGCAAACTGAATTGCCCACCCACTACACATTAATAACAACACAGAAAAACTTCCCATCTGTTTTGATGGATATACCACTGTGAGCCAAGAAAAATGACCAGCACAAAATCACTATTTTCTGCTCAGTCAGCACTTGAGATAAATGCCCAGTCAGAAAACGTGTCCTGAAACCTAAACAGGCTATGCGTGCTTGCCCTGTACTACATGTACAAGCCCTGTCGCTGAATGACAGTTTGTTTATTGGTGTATATTACCAATAATATCCACTCAGTGCACAGCTACTTTCACTACTGTTTCCAAGTATTCGAATAACCAGACTACACTGCAATGGGAAATCCTTGCAGTACTTTAATGTATGGGTAATTTGGGATGGGCAGGGTGATACACTCACTAAAAAAATTCTTTCTGCTGAAGGTGTATTTGCTCCTAAGTACTTTTTGTTGGCTTGTGACACATGAGGGAGATGAAGCAAATAAAGAGATGAAACAGCTTACAGGAAACACTGGGGAAAAGGCAAAACAATGTGATTTTTTCCGTACAACATTTTGATTTTCAAATAAAAGCTCAGTCTCAAAAATTTAAAAAAAAATACCTGAAATTTAAAGACTATTAAAAACTAAGTAGCCTGAAGATAAAATGTTTCATATTGGGTCAGTGTAAGGTTTGTTTTATTTCAACTTTCAGCATTTAGTCAAGTTAAACAAAATCCCCCAAAATCAAACCATTATTCACAGGTCCCAGGTCCCAAGAGTACCCTTTGATACCAGAACTTCCCTCAGAGAACTGTGCAAGTCTTACATGAGGTTCTAAAATTCCCTTTGGTCTAACATACAAGAAAGATAAAATACATAGCTGGATAATGCACACACATACCACTGCATCCTTTTTAACAGCTACATTTGCTCTTTTTTGTACCATTTACAGTGTCTTATTTTTTATTTTGGTTCATAACACTTTGGGGTCCAGGCCCAAAATCTTGTTCCATGGTTATATTGCACCTAACATGCTAGTTAAGGTCCCTCATCACAGCTCCCAGACACCATGGCAATACAAACAGTAAGCAAAATATTTCTTCTCAACTGACAGAGGCACCTAGAAGCACTTATGCCCATGCCAGTCATGCCAGCAAGGCAGAGAAAACCCTAGGGGTAAAACTTCTGTTATCTGCATTCGATTTCAGTTACACATGGCATAAAAATGGGTTTTGGAGGAAGAAAAAAATCCCAGTTTGTTGCTTGCTGGAAACACTTCATTTCATTGCTGCAAGCAGTACAAGTAGAAACGACATGACGTCATTGAGTGACGATACCACAGGAAAGACTGCTCTTGTTATAAGTTTTTCTTCATAAAGTGATACAGGCTTGTGAATACAGTCACATTCTCACACTGAAGACTTACATAATCAACGTATGCAAAGCAAGAAAAATATCTGATATTATTTTAATTTACATTTTATTTTATAATCTGGAGCAAGGTATCAAGTTTAAACATTGTTTGGTTTATTCTCTAAAGCATGCTGAGATATATGAAGTGTAATTAATTGTCTCTATCTACAATCAGAATACACTAAATCCACTAATCTTAACATAAACTGACATAATTACCTATCCCTCCCTCCTTTAAAGAGCCTTTTTTTCCTTTAAAGCCTTTTTTTTTTTCTTCCCCAAATTAAGCTCAGGGTACAAAAAGTAAAAAAAACCTCTATCATATAACTGAATGTATCTGCTATAAAAAAAAAAAAAAAATACATTATTCTGCACCACAGTCAATCCACAGCTTAAATCTGGCACAGGAAGAATTACCTGCTGGATGCATATTTCCATTTATAAACATCTTTTCTTACATTTATGGGGGTCAAGTGTAAGCACTGCAGGAGATTCCTGTGTGAAATTTATCTGCAATTTGATCCTTGCATGGCATGCTGTCTAAGCATTACACTGTACTACGATTTAATGCTGGGCATCGACTTCAGCAGTTACAGATGATAGACTATTTAAAGGAATATGGCTGTGACCCAGAGATGTACAAATGTATACAAAACAGCATTTTATTTTAGATTTGGGAGGGGTGAGATCGAGTTGGGGGTAGGCCTGTAAAAACCATCATTTGAAAAAGAAGGGCCTCATCGCTAAAGGATCAGAAAAATGGCCATTAACATCTTAAAAATAAATAATGATATACACTCAATATAACAGTCATGATATTTTAAGCTTCAGACTATGAAAGTGTACGGTATTACTCCATTTCCCCCTAAGTTTTCACACCACTAGAGGAATAAAATAAATAATTTTAATGTTTCGTTATCACGCTAATGCTTGCCAACCTTCTAAAGCATGCTATTTAATGATACTGGTTGACAAAGCAGCATGAAGTCCCAGTCAGTGAAAACAGTCTCCTATCACGTGTTTCATTTCAGGCTGGGGGTTGGTTTTGCCCCTCCTTCTCTTTTTAAATAAACATAAGCAGTTATGCAATTCTCTATAAAATCTGTAAGAATTTCCCCTGTGGATCCTGCAAAACACGAATAGGGAAATTGCTTGTCAGCATCTATTGCAAGAATCAAAGCTACTGATGTTTAAGACACACACTTCATATGTGTGTTCAACACCTTACCCGTGGAAGCATTTCACCCAGGTACTTTTACCCAGGACTGAAGAAATACGTGCAACCGCTGCTTATTTGTGTATGCGTGTGTATTTGCTTTCAGGCTAGCTAGCCGGGGTCGCAGATTAATTCACAGGATTCTGTCATCCTGTTTTTCACCCTGGAGTATTGCACTCGGCTTTCTACGTGCGGGTGTTAACACTGCAGTCCATCAACAGTCTCCCTCATCTGATGCTGGTTTTCTTCGAGAACGCCATATAGGAGTGGCCGGCAGAGACTAAGCCCCTTCAGCTAACATCTGTGCATTAAAAAGTGAAAAAAATAAGAGACAAATCGTCTTTACCCATCAATCTCCACAAAAGGGGACCGCCTGCTCTCTGCACGACAAGCAGCAGACGCAGCGGTTGAGGCTTTGTCGTCTCTCAACAACAACTAAGAGCAGAACGTGTGCGCGCAAGGTGGATCTTTCCGCAGCTCCTCCGGGAGCCGCCCGCTTGCCAGCGACCAGCATCGCCCATCCACGCTCGGATCAAACAGCTCCCGTCAAACAGCCTCCTCTCGCTCCGCAGAGATTGCGGCCGCGCATCCCGTCCCCGATGGCGGGGAGATGCGCCTGCCGAGGCCCATCCCGATGGGCAGGCAGAGGACTGCAGCTCCACACCGAGCCCTTCTCCCCGCCGATTCCTTCCCCGGGTCTCCCGCGGGAGGGATGTAGAATGAGGGGAGGCAGCGAGGGGGTTAAGGCTGGTGCGGAGAAGCTGCCGCCGCCGCCGCCGTGTCCGCAGCCCCCCGCGGACGTTACATAACTGCAGCGCGCAGCAGCGCAGGGCGCCCTACGCCCCTCTGAGCTGTGAAGGCGGTGAACAGTAGGGAGCCGCCAGTCGCGCCGCGACACCGGGGGCCGCCAGCCCGGGGCAGCTCCGCCAACGTGCCCGCACCCTCCTCTTGCGTCTTCGCTAACCTAATAGAAATCAATCAGCCAGCGCGCTGAAGAGGAGGGAGAGAGCAAGAGAAGCACATACACCCCACACACACCCCAAAGAGAGAGTCTTGCCTTGCCTTGCCCGCCCCGCAGGAGGTGCCCGCTTACCACCGGCTCTCGAGGGGTGGCAGGTCCCGCCAGCCCAACCTCACGCTCGCCCTGATTCCGCGGCTATCGGCAGCCCGTGTGAAGCCGGCGCGGTGGCTCCGGCAGGCACCGCCCCCGCTGCCCAGGCATTGGCGAGAGCCCGGCACCGCCTGCCCGCCCTTCCGCCGCTCGCCCCCATAGGCCGGGCGGGCTGTCTGGCGGCGGTCGCTCCCGCCCCCCCGCAGAACCTGAGGTAATGAATTAGCGCGGGGGTAGCTGCTGCCTTTGCTGCCTTAAATGGTTGGTTACTGCTGGCGGCGCCTCTGCCCTCTCCTCCCTCTCGCTGCCCGGTGCTCGGCAGCAAGTGGGCAAGGGCAGGTGCAGGGGAAACCGGGAGGCGCTGGTTGCTTCGTAGTTCCCGTCGCCAGGAGCTGGAGGCGACGAGGGGCTGGGCAGCGGCGCCCCTACCCCGGCTGCGCCAGGTCCAGCAGCTTCTGCCATGTCGAGCATCCTGTTGCCCCTTCCCCAGAGAGAAGCAGAGGCAAAGTGGCGCGACGGTCCTCTGTATCCTCTCAGGCTGTGGCAGGTTTGGGTCCAGATTGCTGCTCGGCTGTGGCTGTTGACATAAAGTAAATAAAAATCATGCGAAAGACTGGGCCGTGCAGTGCAGTAGGCGTTCCATAAAGCCTCGTGTTCCCTGAGCTTGCCAATTGTCTAGGAGCGAGCCTAGGATTGGCACAGCGAGGAGGTGCAGCCACTAACCTAATCTGCAGCAATGCTATTCAAAATCTGAGAGTACGGAAGCACTTCAGGAGTCAGCAGAAATGTGACAAGCTGTTTTGCATTCCTATTCGTGAATTTATAACCAGTCTCCAATGACCCGGCAGAACTTGGTGGACCATAACATGAGAGCTGCTGTGCTGGAATCAAGTTAAAACAATCTACCTGCAGAGATGAGGAAGAATAGCGAAATGATCCAGTTAATGTGCAGTGGAGTCTCAATTTTCCAAATGCAAGATAGATACATGGCCAACTGTTTTAAATAGTCATATACCTACACTTGCCTTAAGATGCACAACAATAGTTCATAAACTATCATAAACCTACTTTATAAACTCTTATTTCAGTATCGTATAAGGTGGGCTGATGCCAACCTTGTGAAGTTTAACCATGCCAAGTGCAAGGTCCTACACCTGGGTTGGAGCAATCCCAGGCACAGCTACAGGTTGGGCAGAGAGGAGATTCAGAGCAGCCCTGCGGAGAAGGACTTGGAGGTGTTGGTCGAAGAAAAACTGAACATGGACCGGCTTCAATGTGTGCTCACAGCCCAGAAAGCGAACCATATCCTGGGCTGCATCAAAAGGAGCATGACCAGCAGGTCGAAGGAGGTGATCCTGCCCCTCTACTCTGCTCTCGTGAGACCTCACTTGGAGTGCTGTGTACAGTTCTGGTGTCCTCAACATAAAAAGGACATGGAACTGTTGGAACAAGTCCAGAGGAGGGCCACGAGGATGATCAGGGGACTGCAGCACCTCCTGTATGAAGAAAGGCTGAGAAAGTGGGGGCTGTTCAGCCTGGAGAAGAGAAGACTGCGTGGAGACCTCATAGCAGCCTTTCAGTATCTGAAGGGGACTTATAAGGATGCTGGGGAGGGACTCTTCATTAGGGACTGTAGTGATAGGACAAGGGGTAACGGGTGAAAACTTAAACAGGGGAAGTTTAGATTGGATATAAGGAGGAAGTTCTTTACTGTTAGGGTGGTGAGGCACTGGAATGGGTTGCCCAAGGAAGTTGTGAATGCTCCATCCCTGGTGATGTTCAAGGCCAGGTTGGACAGAGCCTTGGGTGACATGGTTTAGTGTGAGGTGTCCCTGCCCATGGCAGGGGGTTGGAACTTTATGATCTTAAGGTCCTTTCCAACCCTAACTGTTCTGTGGTTCTATGATTCTCTTAAGGCAGTTATTGAAATGACCCATAATGTCATAAATGCGTTAAGGCCCCTGTGCGTTAGGGCTGAATTTGGCTGCACTACTGATGAAGATTTTGTGGTAGAGTATGGCAGATGCACTTGTGATCTCTCTTGAGAGCACAACCCAAAATATTCTTGTATTTTGTTTCAAAGTTTTTTCATTCAGCATGCACACACAGGAAGCCTACCTTTTGTGAAGCCTGAGCTGGCTTAATCTTAAGAAGAATCCCTACCATACAGCTGAAAACTAGGTTAAGACTAGGTAGTTTTAAATTGGAGCATAGTTTTGAAGGCAAAAATGAATGCAATATAAATTAACATAAAACAAGGTATGGTAAATAACCCAGTGGAGACTATTTTCCTAATATTTATTATGGAGTTTGTCTTATATTATTGTCAGTTCCTTCGTCCACCCCACACAGTTCAGAATAGAATTTTCTGTTTCCCTAATAGAATCCAGGCCATCAATTTAAGCAAAAAAAGAATGCAGAGTGGGAATTTTCCAAATTTGATTTTATGATGGAATTCAGACAAATTTCACAATTTGTCTTTCTTAAACAAAAAAACAAACAAACCAAAACCAGAGAAAGAAACTGACAGTGGCCCTCAGTTCTCTTTTGTGAGGGTCCTGAGGGGCACTGGGGCATAGAATCTGTTTGAGTTTCCCATAAGGATGGAGGTTCCACTGCTTGCCATTGTTACTCTCTGCTACATTTAGTGTGTGGAAATGACTTTTTTTCCAAATAGCAACACGTAATTTCTGGTCACACTTTTAAGACCCCCTGTCCTCAAATAGAGAGGGATTTAGAGGTTTAATTTAGCAATTTAATTTAACTAAATTTATTCATTTAGTTCCTAGTCCTGAATACTGTTGACAATATTCCAGCAAACTGGAATTTTTCCTCCCAAACTGATTTTACTAAAACTGTAGTATAAAATCACAAACCCCCATTTTAGGGTTGTCTGTATTGGGTTTACGTGGCAAGGTTTTGGTAGTGGAGGGTCGAGGCTTCTGTGAGAAGATCCCAGAAGCTGCTCCCAGATCAGACAGAGCCAGTTCCAGCTGGCTCCAGGACAGACCCAACACTGACCAAAGCTGAATGCCATGGTAGCACGCTGTGGCAGCGTATTTAAGAAGGGGGGGAAATGGTGTACAACCGTGAGAGGCAGAAGAGTAGAGCGAGAAAATGTGAGGCAGACAACTCTGCAGACACCCATGTCTATGAAAAAAGAGAGGGAGGAGGTGCTTCATGTGCCAGAGCAGAGATTTCCCTGCAGCCTGTGAAGACCATGGTGATGCATGTCATCCCCCTGAAGCACATGGAGGTCCATGGTGGAGCAGATATCAACCCTGTAGCCTGTGGAGGACCCCACACTGGTGCAGGCAGATGGTCTCTGAAGGAGGCTGTGACCCTGCACTGGAGCAGGCTCCTGGCAGGACTTATGACCCTGTGGAGAGGAGCCCACACTGGAGTAGGTTTTCTGACAGGACCTGTGACCCAGGGAACCCGTGCTAGAGGAGTCTGTTCCTGAAGGACTGCGCCCTATGGAAAAGACTCATGCTGGCACAGATAGTGAAGAACTGCAGCCCATGGCAAGGACCCACATTAGTGAAGTGTTTGAAGGACTGTCTACTATAGGAAGGAGCCCACACTGGAGCAGGGGAAGAATGTGAGGAAAAAGGAGTGGCAGAGATAAAGAATTATGAATTGACCTGACCCCCCATTCCCCATCCGCCTGCACTGCACTGGGGGAGGAGGTAGAGAAGTCAGAAGTAAGTTGAGCCCAGGAAAAAGGACGAGGTGGAGGGAAGGGTTTTTAGGTTTGTTCTTATTTCTCACTACCCTACTTTGTTTCATTGGTAATAAATTCATTTGCCCAAGTTAAGTCTATTTTGCCCATGACGGTAGTTGCTGAGTGATCTCCCTGTCTTTATCTTGAACCTTGAGCCTTTTGTCTTACCTCCTGTTGAAGAAAGGGAGTGATAGAGTGGCTTGGAGGGCACCTGGCAGCTAGCCAAGATCAACCCATCGTATTAACACACTGCATTAATAAAGTAATGAAACTTTGGGTTCATTGTAATCCTGTGTGCAAATTAACTCTTTCCATATTTTGAGGCAGGAGATTGGGCAGTTCTTTGTCTGCATTTATTTTCATTTTTAACTCAAGAATGCTATCATGGAGTGCTATGTGTGCCTGGGACATTTGTTTAAAAAATAAAATAATGTGAATACCAACGTGCATCTATGTTGTGGATTTCTGCAGCACTCCATACACTTACTTTACATAGTACAATTACGCTCTTACAATGGATTCCTTAGAGCTCCCAGAAGCCTCCTTTTATCCCTGCAAAATGATTTTTTTTTTTCTCAGTCCAGAAAATAGTCTGCTCAGTTTTACATTGATAAGGTAATAGTGCTCTGCTACAGAACAGAGCAGAGCAGGGAGCAGTCCAACCCTTGATTAGCTCGATCTCCTCTGGAAGTCCATTCACTCACAGGAAGAAAAGACCCTTGACCATGACCTTTAATATCTCACTATCTTATCCTAAGATTAGCTGCATTTCCCCAGGAGGGTAGTACAGCTGTGTTTGTAGGCTGTAGCTGTGGCTGAAGGATACTGTCTTTTCTTCTAGGCACAGGCCACTGTGTAAGTTCACATGTGACCTGAAGCTGATGATTTGTCAGTGTGACCTAGCATTTTAAATGCTTTTTCAGTCTTCTAAAGAAACATTTGAAAATATGATTGATCAAATGTCTTTCTCTCTGAAACACTCTTGTTAGACATTCCCAAGCCACTGCAGCAGAAATATGTTTCCTTAGAATCCAGGAATGGAGCAGAGTGTAGGCATTGTCCATACCCTGAGTCCTGCAGGGGCTTTCAGAATGTAAAATTCCTACAAGCCTAAGGATGAACTTTCTTGCCTCTGGGCTGATGGCAACAGAGTAGAAAAACTGGCCCTGGTTTTTCCTTTCAGAGCTTGACAATAAGAAAAGCACAAACAGATTTCCTGCTGAATTCCAGAGTGTTACTGATTTTAATTAACACTATGAGAAGTACATAGATCCATTCAAACTAAAACTGGACAGATTTCCCTATTTCATTCTCCCCATCAGTTAACATGCCAGTTTGTCTTTCATTTCAAGACAAAGTCTTCTGGGAGGGATGCAGATCTGCTTCCTTCAATTGATAAGGCTCGTTTTCAAATTCCTACACTTACTGCCCATCCCTGTTATGTC